ACTGAACTGTCTTTGGAATTTCCTGCTTCGTGGAGATGTCTGCTGGATACTATGGGCCTGTAGGCCAAAGATGGATGCCCCAACGGTACAGAGGAACTTTGGGTGACTGTCTAGGCAGCGAGATGTCTCTGTCATTTCTAGAGTTTTCTTATTTCTTGTTTACTTAGGTAGTATTATATCCTTCTGGAGTCTTTGATGGAGCTGAAGAATGAATAGATAGTTATAGTTTTCCTTAGTTATGATAAGAGATAAAATAGATATAAATATTGTAACTGTAATTCTTGCTTGATAACTTTTGTTATATGTAATTTTACTACGTTAAAGTTAAAGCCTTTCTTTTTTGTTTAAACAGAAAAAAGGGAAATGATGGAGGTGGGTCTTGTATCTTATCTGTTGCTTTCATTGGTTAATAATAAAGAAACTGCCTCGGCCCTCATAGGACAGAAAATTAGGTAGGCGGAATAGACAGAAGAGAATGCTGGGAAAAAGAAGCTTAGTAGAGGAGTTGCCATGATGCTCCCACTCCAGACAGATGCAGGTTAAGATCCTCTCTGGTAAGCCAGCTCATGGGCTACACAGAATATTAGAAATGTGTTAGAACAATATGTAAGAGCTAGCCAATAAGAAGCTGCAACCAGCCGGGCCAGGCAGTGTTTAATAGAATTCAGTTTCCATGTAATTATTTCGGGCATAAGCTAGCCATGCGGGCGGCCGGGTGCCGGGGACGCAGCCCCGCCAATCTTATTTCAACAGAGGAGGGCAGCCAAAACTCTCATACATATAAAAATAAATTAAAATAAGAGAGAGAGGTGATTTGGTTTTTCTGTTGCAAAAGGGAGAAGATGGACAGGGGTGATACGTGGAAGACTGGATTACACTGGTGAGGGGCAGTCACTAACAACCCTGCTTGGGAAGGGAGAAACAGTGTCCCATGCTGAGACAGACACCAGCAGAGGAGGCAGGTCTGCTGCCAAAACAAATACCACTGAAAACTTCAAAAGCATCTTCTTAAAGAACTTCTGGATAGAGGAATCTTTGAAAGCCGCATGCTGAGAGACCTGCGTGAAGACATCCAAGCCTGCAGAAGGGGAAACTGACAGGCAAGTCCAGGGCTTCCTGTTTGGGGATTACAGATGGGAGCAGATAAGAGTGCCTGGGAGAGACTGATCACCTTTGCCAATTTTTCCACGGCCATTTGAAAAGTTGGTGACAATAATCTGAAAACTGTGAAGTTAACGCCTCAATCACCTTAAGCCAAGAGTTGGGTTTGGCTAGTATCTCTGTCCCTTCAGTATCTTAATCTGTTTTCTCTCTTCCCTGAAGATATATTTTGCTCTCAACTGAATTAAAATTCTATTGCTATTATTACATTGTTGTTATTGCTATTGTATTTATCTGGGGATGGGAGAGTGTCTCACATACTATCACACATACATGCAGGCCACAAAAGAACTTACAAGAATCAACCCTCTTTTCCCTTCATGTGAGTCCCAGGAATCGAACTCAGGTCATCAAGCTTGGCAGCACATGCCATTTGGCCCTCTACTGGGTTTTAATTCATTCTCTTTTATCTTTTCTCTGTGTATAGGGCTGATGACTCTCCTATGGTATCTATCAGCATCTTCCCTTTACATAACGTTCTCTACATTTTAAACTCTGCACCCTGTTTTATAATTGATATTAGCTCTCCCCCTCCCCCAGACACACACACTGTTCTCATTTCTCTAGTTCAGTCTGTTCTCTTTAGTTAACTTGCTGTTTCTATTTTTTCCAGCTTAAATTTGAATCCAAATCTTTCTTTCTGCCCTTTCTGCATATTCTATTTTAGCATCCTTTCATGTCATAGGAAGTCTTGTTCACTGTGGACAAAGAAGGAGATCCCCTTGCCAAATCCTCTTCAAAGGTCTTCTCCAAGAGTTTTATCAATTTCAGTTGTACTCCCCATGCCCAACCAAGGGGAAAGTAGCTAAAGGGGATTAATTCTCCTCAGTACTGTACCCCAAATGGTAATATTAGGATCTCATGTCTATTGAGGTAAAACTAACAATCACTCAGAGCCCCAGATTTGATGGCTCCATCTGGAGTTCTCAACTTCCCTCTCTTGATGTACAATCTGTACTCAAGAAAATCTCAATCAGCCTGAAGAATTTGACTTCTATATTGCTTGTGTCTCCTGAAAACAATTCAAAAGCTGACCATAATCTGGCCATCTGTGGAGAGGGGTGGGAGAAAAGAAATGAACGGGTGGTTGGATAGATGGATGGATGAATGGTTGGAGGGATGGATGAACAGATGGACAGATGGATAGATAGGTAAACAGACTGGCAGGTGGATGGGTGGTTATATTGGTACATGGGTGAGTCAGAGGATGCGTGGATAGATAGATGGATAGATGTATAAACAGGCAGTAGATGGATAACTAGATGGCTGTGTTGGTACATGGATGATGGATTGGTGAACAGGAAAGAGGGTAAAAGGAATGAAGGTTCTTCTCTGTAATGACAGAGAAATAAAGCTACTTAGAAAATAGGTCACTGAAATCTGTATCAGTGGGGTTGGAGAGATGACACAGTGGTTAAGATCAGTGACTATTCTTCCTGAGGTCCTGAGTTCAATTCCCAGCACCCACATGGTGGCTCACAACACCAGTTCCAGAGAACCTAACACCCTCATGCAGACAACATGCAGGTGAAACATCAGGGCACATAAAATAAAATTAATTAATTAAAAAAGAAAAGAAATTTGTATCACCTTCTGGACTTCTGATCTGCCTTCTCGACTCATTTGTAAAGAAGGTTTCTGGGTCATTAAAGAGAAAAAAACATGAAAGACCTGAATTCATACCTGATATGAATAGGTGGGACTCTGAGAGATTATCAAGTCACTGCCTACAGAGTGGGTATGCTTGTACCTCCAAGATTTGCCAGCGTCTGTGAGCAGCCTGCCTGGCACCATCTCCTTTCCCGTCTCCAGCACCATCTTCCCACACTGCTGTCTCTACACCATGTATCTATTTATGGAGCTCATTGAGTTGACCTTCTCTTGCTGACTGCTGCCCTGTCTTTCCATTTCTGTCCTTTCTCTTGTCGTCTAATTTTATACCCCCTTCCGCATATTTCTCCTAATGACACATTTCATTGTTCCTGTGTGATCTCTACCAAACGTGTTTACATTTTTCACTCTCTTATCAGACTCCATCCTGAGAACACATTCGTGTGACATATGATAACATTTTAACCTAGGATGGACCACGTTAAGACAGACATCACATAGGCTGATATGATCAGTGAGTGATTGACCCAATAACTGGGATATTTAGGGGCAGAGAACTCAACAGTGTCCATACAATAAAGAACTCACTTCATGGCACATTTCTCAGAAATTCATCCCCATTATTAAGTGATATGTGGCTATATATTAAGCCAGATTGATTCAGATAAACTCAAGTCTGCTTAGGAATCTCCTGTTCTTGCCTCTAATCTTCATTTTTACGACTTTGTACCCTTTAATTACCCAAAAGCTCTTCTATTCGGAGACTCACTCTCTTTCCCTTCTTGTCTCCCACTGGGGACAGCAGCCACAAGCTGAACAAAAGTGTGTGTGTGTGTGTGTGTGTGTGTGTGTGTGTGTGTGTATGTGTGTGTGTGTATGCGCGTGTGTGTGTGAGTGTGTGTGTTTGTGTGCATGCGTGTGCGCGTTGGAAATGGTGAGACGAGAAGGGTGAAGACAGGAAAACAGCACGAGTGAGGTAATTTGCAGTCTAAGAACATAATCACCTTCTGCGACAAGTGCTGGCAGTCTGGGCCTCTCATCAGCATCTCTTCCACTCATCCTCTGAGGAGTCCTGTGGTTGTTGGACACTGAAGAGAAACATGGCAATGACCGAATCAGACAGCGATGAGGCAGATACCTCCCAGCACCTCATCTGAGATACTTGCCCCCACCCATCTAGAGCCTTGCTCTGTCTCTTTTCTCTCTGCTCACCCCTCTTACTTTCTTCTTGTTTTTTGGTCCCCAATGGTCTACAATATAAAGCATCACACATGCTTCAGCCCTTTCCTTCCTTGTTGATGTCCATGCTCTAATGCCCATGTGACAGGCTCCAATTCTACCATCTCTCCGCTTCACCTTTGTATCAGGCCTAGCACACTCCTCATGTCCCCCCAGATCTCCCATGAGAACCATGTTCAGGGATCCTAGCAACCCCATAATCCTGCCTCACACAACATCACCACAGTGTGTTCTGAGGGATGCTAGTCCTTTGCTCAGGCTTGACTTTGGCCTGACAAAGTTACATATGTCTAAGCATCTGCTTAACATACAAAATGGAATGAAGAAGAATTTGCCCTCTCAATTTGCAAGCTTGTGGAGATAAATGAATGGATTTGTGGAAACTCCTTGAATAACCACTCAATCTAAAACCATGGTTTTGGCAAGCTAGCCTGCTCAAGGCTTGAGTGGGTGCTGAAGTTTCCTTGCAGAGCATGTAATAGAAGCAGACATGAACCAGTGAGAAGGCCAAAAGGGATAGGAATCTGAATTGTGAGCCAAGCTGCACCTCACAGTTCTATATCCAGGTACATACTGGACTCTGGTGTTTCTGGGCAACCTTCCAGGCCCTTTGGTACCCTGGAAAGTTAGACACAGCAGTGAAAAACTAGCAATCATGGTTTGTATCTCCTCAAAAATGTCAGAGGACAGTGAAAGCCAATTCCAGGTTAAAACAAAGGCAGAAAATGTTTTTACAAGTGACACAGCTATGTCAAGAAAGGTAAAGGGGCTTCTGTAGAAAAAATAAAACTTTATAGATACAGGAAGGAGGCTGGGAAGAAGGGAGGAAGGAGGGGATGGAGGGAGGGGAAAAGTCAACATCTTTCAAGGATGCAGGAAAGAAGAAAAAGGGAGAAATGGAGGTAGAGAGGGAAATAGAGAGACTTTGCTTGAATTGAGTCAAGGAAGACACTCTAGTACTTCCTCTTCCTGAAGGGGGATCAGTGCTTCCCCAGGAAGGATGGGTTGGGTGAAATGAAAAACTGCTTTATGAAAGGCAACACAGGAAGTGGCTGCCAGTGACCCTCAGGTGGCCGGTGAGAAGTGAAACACCAATTCCGGACCTTAAAGAGCTGCATTACAAGGTGACCAACTGATATAGATGAAGAGACAGGACCCAGAAGACATGAGGGAAAAAGGGAAAGATACCCAAGAAATGTACAAATATTCTTCACAAGGAGTCTGATGAGGGTGTACCTTCTTAAAAGTCCTTTAGAAGTAGGGGAGCTGGAAAGCTGAGGCCACAGGGGACCAGTGGGGGAGCTACAGAGGCTGTTCTCTACCCAGGACCTGCTGACTTCACATTCATGCGACATGCCAGCCCCTCAGTTCTAAGAGTCCACCTTCTTTTCATACTCTAAATTGACACAGAGTGCCCTCTCTGGTACCTGGGTCCAAGAGGGGTTTCCCTTGTGATCGCTCTGTTTGTCAAAGAAGGAAGTTAATGTAGGACTCCACTGAATGGTAAATTTTCTGATACAAGGAACACATTTTGGTTGTTGGGCATGTCTGTAAGTATCAGAGAACCATCTCCTTTCTCAGGGAACTTGCCATTCATGGGGTGTCTTAATAGCATGAAACTCAGGTTCGGAATGAACACTTATCTCTGTGTTACTTGGCCTGTGTGTAAGCTACTGACTACATGGGCCATGTGTATTTCCTACATTACCTGTGTTTGGCATGTCACAGTCCCTCAATAAATTCCATGTCAACTATCAATGAAAAAAAATGAATGAGTGATTGAATGAATGAATGAATGAATGAAATTGTCTTGAACTCCCGGAAGCAGGTGAGAGCTATAGTTACCATCTGGGAAGTTTCTTAGAGTCTCCTTTAAATCTGGGTAGGCCTTCAGATGCGTCGGGCTGAATAACACTTTCATAAGCCGCAGGCTAAACTTGTTCTGTAGGTCACTGAGGATGTCATACACTATTTCCGGTGGGATCTGGTTTTCACAACTTTGCCGATAATTCTTAAAAATATTGAAGAAAGAATTATGTCACAATGGATTTATGAATTTATAAGAGAGGCTTAGAATGGTTCAAATGCCATTCGACTTCTTGTGAAGTGTCTGAGTTTTGCATTGATGAGGTGACATCTTACATGTCCTCTCTGCAATGACAAACCCGTGCTTATCCGAGAGCAGCTTTGATGCTGACACACAGTTGACAGGAAAGAGTAGCTCTGAAGAATAATCAAAGGATGTGTCTGTAAGAGCCAGGCCAAGATGTTCCACTGCGGCCCTAACAGGCCATGACAGGCTGGGACCAGACAGGAACTCCCTGGAGACTGACCTGGTCTGCAGGGCTCAAGGCAACCAAGTGATCATCCTGGCCACAGGGCAAAGACAATGCACAAAGAAGAGAAGGCTTGTCATTATCTTCAGGGGACCCCATCACCAACATTCTAGGGCCTTAGCAGCACCTGAACAACAAGAAGTAAGTATGACTTTCGGTTCTATTCTCATGTGACCCAACTGCCTGTGACTTTCAAAGCTCTCAGGCTCTGGGATTTGGAATAAGTAGGCTTTGTAAAGAAGCCCTGCTTGGACATGTCTACTTGCATTCTAGCTTCTGTTGTTAAACTGCACAAGCAAACCTGGGGTGCTCTGCCCTTTAGAGCATTCCCACATCCCATATTTCCCCTGTCACCATGTTCCTTAGCCCCGGTTACTGCAGAGATGGATAGGAGTGTTTCCTGTGATGCCCGCTTCTCCTGTCACCTCTGACTTCCAAGAAGTAAAGTTACCTACTCCCTGGAGGCCCTTCAGCCTGTTGGCTGCATCCCGAGGTTCAGAGGAATACAGCACAGGGCAGGCTGACTATCAGGGCTGAGTCCTTCTCCTCACTCACCAGGAACTTCCTCTCAGAGATGTAGCCACGGTCTCGAAGGCTCATAAGGAAAGGAAAGGGCTTTGTGATGGCACTCGCGATTTCCACCTTATTTTCTTTAAAGTACTTGAAGATGAGCCCATAGTCCGGTGACTCCTCTTCGCTCAGGTACCCTGAGCTTGCCCTAAGGGATACATTTCATGTATAAGTATAAACTGGTTTACAAGAGGCTACCAATGACTGGATAACTTCTGGTATAAAGAATGGTCCACTAAAAGGAATGATTTGAAGTAAAATTGAAACTTTAAACATCTAAAATAGTGATGCAAGTTGTGATGCTTTGGGTTTTATTTGTGTGAGACAGGCTATCACCTGTAAGTGTGGCTTGCCTGGAATTTGCTAGGTAGACCAGGTTAGCCTCAGAGATTCACCTGCCTCTCCTGAGTACTGGGATTCAAATCACGCTCCACCATGCCCAACACAATGATTAGTTTAAATTGTCAACCTGACATACTCTAAAACCATCAGGGATATATGAGTCTTAAAGGACTGTCTAGGTTAAGGTGGTCTATGGATCCATCAGTCTGGGTGTGTCTTCATTATGCTAATTGCTATGGGAAGTCCCAGTCCACTGTGGGCAACACCAATTCCTAGGTAGGGGGATCCTGGGCAGCCTTAAGTGTCGGGAATAAGTTGAACACTGACAGGCACTCTTGCATTCTCTTCTCTCTGCTCTTGATTATGGGTATGACCAGCTGCTTCAAGTTCCAGCCTAGATTTCCCTGCAATGATGAACCATAAGCTGGCCCGATGAGAGTATAAGTTCCTTCTCCACCAGGTCACTTTGTGTCAGGGTCTAACATCGCAGGTGGCCGCTGTTCTCTGCCCAAAAACAGAGTCCAGGGAAAGGACCCTCTAGGGAAAGGAGGCCCAGAAGCCCAAAGAGACATGGGAGTTGTTTGCTCATGTTATCGATCCCATTCTGGTGTACAAATAGAAACAAATTATGTTAGATAATACAATGGCAGAAGCAAGAGAGCTGGGCATAGTACAAGGGTCTGTAGTCATGGCATGCTGGAGGCTGAAGCAGAAGGACCATCATGGCCTACATAGTGATTTACTTTCTTTATAATTTTACTGAGTATTTACACCATCACAGTATTAGCACATGTAGAGGTCTGAGGACAACTTTGTGGAGTGGAGTTGGTTCTCTCTTTTCACTCTTTTACGGGTTCTGGGCATCAAACTTAGGTTGCCTGGTTTGCCTGGGAAGCTCCTTTACCCACTGAGGCATTTGTTAGCCCTGACCTAGTGACTTCGAGGCAGGCCTGTGCTATCTAGCAAGACCCCGTCTCAGTTAATGGAAGAAAGAAATCAATACCGACCAGCAAATTTCTACTACACAACAAGTGGCAGGAGAGCTAGGGAGATGGTTCAGTGGTTTGTGTGATGACCTGAGTTCAACCCTGAAACCCACGGGGTACAAGGAGAGAACCAGCTCCTGCAAGTGGGGGAGGAGACAAGTTCAACTATGACACGTAAGTATGAAGAGGCCATGACGAGAACCAGTATTTTGTATGCTAACCTAAATAATTAATTAAAAACAAAACTAAAAAAAAAAAATAAGGCGCATCTTTCTTTTTGCCTTTTCTTTACTTTAGAAATTTATCATGTTTTTGAAAAGTTCATACATGAATGCTGTATTTATATCATTTCTACTTCTCCCTTTCTCCTTCAGGTCCCCCAATGATTTTCTCCACTCCTGCTTGAAATACTTTTTTTTAATTATATATATATATATGTATATATATATATATACAAATA